AAAGAGATTAATTTTCACCCACGCACCAATACTGGCTGAATGAATGAACGATCCCCCCAGTCACACACAGCCATAATCTCGAAATGTTCGAGATGAGTGAAGAAATCCATGCACTGCTCAGAGGTCCAATTTATTCTATTTCAGCCTGAAGAAAATAACTGAGGTTCAAATTATGCTACCTTTTAGCCAAGAAAGAAATTAAGAATGAGTAGGACTGAATGGAAGAAACAAAGGCAGCTCTCTTGGATACTTCAGCTGAAGTTTTCAATTTCTTCCTTTCTAGAAAGGGGCAGCAAGGCTGTGGACTGGACCACCAAAATATTTTTAAATCTCCTGCTAATTGAAGTTTCCACTCACATAAAATCATATCCTATGTCAGTACATTCCCCTTTGATTAATACCACATCACTTTAATTCTCTAAATTTTTACTGTATAGTACGAATTAAAAAGTCTAAAACAAAAAGTCATTGCAAAATGAAATGCGGAAATGAAGTGCTCCATTCCAACCAGATAAAAAGGGAACATTTCAAACAAAATAATTTGGTTCATATATTTTTATAAGCAAATCTGTATCACAACCAATGCAATCCCATAAAGACTGTTTGTATTAATAAAATGGTATTTTTACAATGATGAAACATTCTTTGGCAAAGTGTTCAAGCAGGTTTATTAGTGTCATTAAGAATCCTCTCGCATTTCCTTATTTTTCAGCAACTAGTAAGGAGGTATGTTCAGAATTTCATTATTTGAAAATGAGGCAATAAATAAAATAAAATAAAAAATAAAGACTAATTTGTACTCCTATAATGACTCCCTCTGCAAAGCTTCAGAGCAGTTTACAGAAAACCTCAATGATTTAACCTTCACATCCCTTCTGTAATGAAGCTATTTCCCTATTTTATAGCTGGGAAAAATATCTCTCGAGAGAGTCTCTGCTCATTTCAGACGTTTGTATTCTGAGTGCCAAGAGCCTGATTCACCACAATTTATTGTGCTTAAAATCAGTGGATATGATAGGTACTCAGTATTTCTAGCAAATAAGACCACAGGCATCTCAAATCAGCTATCCCACACTACTGGAATCTGCTAATGATTTGGGGTGAATTTGGGAAAGTTGGAAACCAAACCCATGTTCCTCAGTGCCAGGCTTCTCTTCCAATTCTAAGATGCAGTCTGCAAGACACAGTGCCTTTTACATCGTACTTTGCCTTGTACATTGTTCTTTTCCAACAGCACATGTGATATTTTATATGTTTTATTAAGCAGGAGTTAAGCGCTCCATACAGAATCCAATTAACTGTTTGAGTGGGTCAACTCTCTTTTGTCCGTTTTACAGCCTATGCATTCCTGTTGGTCTACTTTTAAAGATACAGGAGAATTCCTGGTAGTTAAGTTTTTTTAATTTTTAATATTTTTGATGCCAAATATGACAGATGTCTATACACTTATGGAAAAGACAGGAAAGCAAGGCTGTTTCTAAGGGAGAAATGTTTCTTTCATTTCCTTCCCTCTTTACATTGGTTGATACTAATTTTAAACCATGCTGACACTCCACAGTAAGGAGGGTGAAAGATCTTGTTCTTTCCTCCAAAAAAGTATCAAATAGGTGCATCTCCAATTTTAAAGCAACCCCACCGAGTCATGTAGTTCAGAAAGGACCATGACTTTCACAGCAACAGAGGATTTGCCGTATCAGATGCAGCAGACTGTAGCATCACAGTGTCTCACTCCTTTATTCTAGCAGTGACCCATATTTCAACCTGTGCTTCAGAGGAAGATGAAAAGCCTCCATACTGCATCCTAAACATAACCATACGGAAAAATGTTGTAGAGCTTAAAAAGGATAAGCAAATAGGGTTCTACAGAAATACTGTGATACTGCTGCTATATCCTAGAGGCAGGGATGATGAGGGCTTTTCAGCACCAAAAATACAGGAAAGAATGCAAAAATATCTTGATGCCCAAACCTGACAAACATCAAGTTCCTAAACTCTACTATTTTTAATGCATGTAGCCCAGGATTTGGCCTGTACCTTCAGAATTCTGTAATGACAGTAACTATAAAGACTCACAGCTAGCACAAGGACCTATGAGGACATTAATAATAGCAATAAGTGCTGTTCTGCATGAGGAAAACTCTTACCCAAGGAATAAAAAAGCCATTTTAGCGTATGGTGTGTCTTACGAAAAATTCCCACTGCATTTGTTCAATGTAGCATTTAAGGACCTGCTCTCAGATAACGCACCAGAGTTCATCCTCTATGAGCAAACGTGGCTTAGGACAGCAGGAGCGCTCCAAATAATGGTGTACCTCCTGGGCTGTCCTTGCGCGCAGGGGCCACATACATACCAGCTCTGTGAGAGCCGCCCTCCTTCCCCTGTGGACGCAAGGTGGTGAGCGCCCAGTCAGCCTGCGTTGCCCAAACAGTCCCTTGCTCACAGAGGATCCAAATACCCGCCCTCGCTGGGCAAGCAGGAGATGCGGGGTACAAGCACAACGCCTTATGCACGTGTGCGTACCGTGACGATATTTGCAGTACTGCCACTTTCCCCAGACACACAGTCTGTACAGGAAAGGGGAAACTCAGCTACCACGGCTGCTGGTGTTGGGTCCCTAATCTATGCTGTTAGATCACAAGCTCTCCCTCTCTGAGTGCTACACATGGTCGGCAATCTTTCAGTCAACCTCTTTCCCGTGTATCTCCAGCTGTCCAAGTGTGCCATAGGCCTATAGATGTATAGCTGCATTATGAATAAAGATATCAAATGTTTCCTTTTTTTCCCCTTTTTATGCTGGAGATAACGGATAATATCTGGAGATAATGTTTGCTGGCTGGTTTGTTACATGTTCACTCCACTCAATAAGATGCCTCTTCCCCAAGCGTCTACTTTAAAAGTGCCCTGGGTAAACTGGGCAGAAAGTCATCATTTTGCCTCTCAGTTGCACAGTTTCAGTGCTCCAATCTTCTCACCCACAGGTGATAAGCACAGCTATTGTTTTGCTAGTTGGCGGTGTTACACCTCTTTTGGAGAGCCTCATGGACTTGCATGTTGCTGCCAAGGTAATGCATGATGTTACACAGTCTAGAAATCAGCCATGGTTGTGTAATGATACCCTGCCACCCCCAAACAACTTAGGACTGCGTCAGGCCAGCAAAAAAACAAGCCTGGAAGCTAAAGGAGGGAAGAT